ACCCCCCCCCCCCCCCCCCCCGCGCCACACAAAAAAAACAAAGCAAAAAAAACCCCAACAAACTTACCACAAAACAAACAAAAACCAAACCAACAACCAAAAAAAACAAACCAACCCCAAGCCACAACCCACCTTCCAATATAAAACCCTTCCTCAAGCAGGATTTGTTTTTTCTGCATGGAGGGAGTTTCAGCAATGTCATGGAACTTACTGGTAGGTGGTTGCTATGTGTCTACAGCAAGCAAAAAAAAATTAGATGTTGCACTGCCAAGGCAACAGTGCAAAGCTCAGACTAAAGAGAATTGAAAATTTGGTGGCTGTACTTTTAACTTAGTCCATTTGTTAAAGCACAGTGGGTATTTTGGTTTTTTAAACTGTAAAAAATTATTGAAGGTTTTCTTTCAATAAAAAGACCTCTCCAGCTTTAGATATCTTCCATCTTGTGGCTGGTTGAGACACCACTTACTGCCTGTCAGCAGGATTCTGATGTAAGATAATAATCAGCTTGTTCCTGCTTATTATCTGTGGAACATAATGTTTTAACATTGCTTTAATAGTTGAACAGTTCTGAAACCATTCTGAATTCTGACATGAGTAGGCTGAATACTACTGAGCTTTTCTGCTGTTGGTGTCTCATAATGCCATTCTTCAGCAAGTCGCTTTTTTAGAGATTGTTTGCATTATCATAATGTCTAAAGGTTATAGCCATGACTGTGATACGGATGTGCAGTGCACACTAAAAACTCATAGAAGACGACATCTAGGTTCCAAAACGTCACAGATGAGCAATAAGTAGAAAGAAGAAAAGGAAGAGTGTTGGAAGAGAACAAGCAAAATAGGACTGACTATTAGGTAGATTAAATATTCCAATATTAATTTTCAAGTGCTTAATGTTTAGGAGGCTTTCAAATTTAAATATGTTAAGAAACATTTGAAATATGGGTTTGCTTTCATACTTTAAATGAAACAGAATTTGCTAATGTGAGTCAAAAGCAGGGACTGGAAAGGGTGTGATAGTTTCTTAGGTCCTCTGGTCCAAAGGGGATGGTGGTATAGTTTGAGCAGAGAAGGAAAAATTACTTGAGAGATGGATTGGTTGCATGAGCTGGTAACAAAGTCGTGGACAAAACCAGTACAGCTTGCTCTTAATATTTCAATACTGCAAAAGAAAGCGACCACTAGAAGGCATTATTTGATAGGCAGAAGTATGCTTTGCTCAGGTTTCCCAGAGCCTTCATGTTTGGGAGAAACTGTTGTTATTCAGGGTAAGAGGAAGCATGTAAGAACTGTTAAACCATTTTCTGTTAAATCATGTTCTAGTAATTTGTATATGTTTTTAGTAATTCAGTAAGTAGACTAAGGCAAATTTGTTTAATGGAGACTTTTCACCTTATTTTTTGTGCCTCAGTTTTCTCATCTGTTTAAAAGAAAAAAGAGTATCTTTAAATGGTCAGAAACTGTAATGATAATTGCTAAAGATAATACCATTATAAAAACAGAAAGTGGGTCTTCAGAGCGAAGTTGGAATTCCATGCAGTCATGTGGGACCACAGCAATGTATTAGTATATAGCAAATATTTAAATCATTGCTCCAGAACTGCCTACTGCATGCCCCTCACTTTGGGAGTGGAATCCTGTGGAAAACACAGTATATTGCCAGGCAGCTAAACTATGCCAGAGTTTACGTGTGAGGGGAGCAAACTAGTACTATATGGGTGACCATAACTGTACCTTTGATAGCATGACTTTTTCCTAATTTATTTCATGTGGTAGGGAAATGCTTCAGTGATAGATGGATTCTGGTTTTAATGTGCGGATAGTACGCCCTCATTGAATTTTCATTAGTAGTTTAAAATTGGATGAAGTTGGTTCCTTGGATACTTCTCATGAGGATCATTCTTTATGGTTGTCATCCTAAAAAAACAAGAGCTTATGCAATTATGTTTTGTCTTTTTCCCATCCTTTTCTTGATCACTTTTGAAACCTTTAGCACCTTCAAATATGTTGGGCAGAGGAGTTTAGGCGTTCCAAGAAATCTTGGGGAAAAAAACATAATACTTGAGCAAAAGGGAGACCATCAATAATGCCTCCAGCAAGAGAAATACCTGCATATGAATCCTACAGTTACCTTTTTAAATTTGGCCTTGCAGGCAGCAACCACAGCACCCTCTGGCTAGTCAGTATGTGCCTAGCTGGGAGCCTGCTGCAGCGCTGGTCCCTTACCTCCCTGCGAGCCATGGGAGCTGGGAGAAAGCACTCAGAGGGAGGTGGGAATGAGAAGCGGGAGCAGTGTATAGAAAGTCATAACAGGGATTTAATGTTGTGGAGCGTAAGAGGAGGATGGAAGAAAGAATTGTACAGGTGTGAGGTTTAGGGAAGCAAAAGCTATTCAGACTTTCAGTGAGCAGCCTGTGCTAACAAACATTGTTTAAAGATGAGGTATCACATACGGTATGCACAAACTTCAGATCAGCAGATATTTGCTTTAACAATTCTGTGGTACAACAGTAGTCGCAGTTTCTAGTTGCTTTGACAACTGTAATCAACTTGTACAATATGCAGTTAAAACTGGGGGCTTATTTTTTTCCCCAAAGAGTTTTTGAGTTGTAGTACTGGCAGAATGCATTAGGGTTGTGATGGTAGCTGATTTTAGCATGGATCAAATATTTCATGAAGGAGCTGGATGGAATGCATTTAGAAATTTGCAATTAATCCCAAAGTAGGAGAGGTGCAGTAACTTCAGAGGGTAGCATTACTTCCTAAAGTTGTCTTTAAAATTAGAAATACGTACTGGAGTAAATAGGAAATAGGTGCAAAGTAGAGCGTTTTGTAGGAAAAATTTACTGTACAAATGGATAAAAGAAGGAACTGAGTGGACAGTGCATGTCAGTGCTTCAGCTCTCCTCAGCATTGATGAAACATCCCATGTAATACTGTTTCAGTGTTGGGGCATCACACTTGGACAAAGATCTGGACCAGATAAAGAGCAAATAATTATAAAAACTTTGATCCCTGAGGGGAAAAGAAAATGAGGAAGGAAAAAAAAGAAGGGAAGCTAGGCTAGTCTGTTACAA